TTACTTTTAGTTGGAATCTTTACATTTCTATTTTTATTACTTTCGTTTTTTTGCATTTTAAATTTATTTACTTTAGAAAGAAAATTAAAAAGGCACATTGGATCTTACACATTTAAAATAATTTAATATTCTCTTTAATTAAGAAAAAAAATTTACCTATGCGTTAATTAAGATCTAAATATAAATATAAATATATATTTATCTATTTTTCCTTTTAATTTGTGTTAAATGCAATTCCAATAATTTTTTTTAATGAAACCTTAATAATTTGTGTTCAATACATTAATCTAACTTTTCATTTTTTATTTTACCTTTATTATATTGCATTTGAAAAGCAAAATGTTTTGTTTTTCATCTTAAATTACATTTATAGGTTATTCTTAGTTGGAACATTTTTACTTCTTTATTTACAACTTTGGCTTTTTTTTTTTTTTTTACATTTTAAATTTATTTACTTTCAAAGAGGAAGTTTAAAGGGCATATTTAATCTTATACACTTACTCTAACTAAATATTCTCTTTAATTGAGAGAAAAAAAAAACTGAAATTTATTTTATTTTATTCCTTTTTAAACTCACTCACCCTCAATTCTCATTGCATTTCTTGGATTGATTTTCAAAATCATCCACAAGAATTGAAATGAATTGAATTAAACTAGCCATTTGTGGAAATAAAAGTTGAAAATAGTTACAATTAGAATTTGTTTTCCATTTGGTACAATTTCGGTTGATAATTTACCGCTTTTATGTATATTATTTTGGCTTTTAATTTCCAAAATCTTTTCTACTTAATTATTAATATTTTTATATGATATTTGCCATGTTATTTTATTTGTTAGATTGCCAATTTTTACTTTTATTTTGATATATATGTTTTCACTATTTTTATTTTGTTACAGGACCATAAGTATCCAACATATGCTATTGAAAACTCTAATTTTATTGAAGCTTATATTAGTCTTTTTTTAACTATATAAATATATAATATAGTTTTGGCAAATTGTATATTTAAAATGATATTTTTAATTTCATTGTTAAGTTTGTAATTTAATATTACTTCATTTTAAAAGTTTAATTTCTTACTTCCATTTGTGATTAAGTTTTATTTAATATACTTATAAAAAAAAAGTGTTTTTATGGTTGAACTACAAGAAAAGTATGCAGAAATATCTATAAAATTATTTCAATACTCTTAATGGATTACCCATACGTGTTGATTTATTAATGGTGTTTAAGTCTTTTTAAATGCATTCTTATACTTTTATCCTATAGGTTAACAAGAAAATCTATAAATATATATATATTATATAGGATATTAATGTTTATCAATTAGACATATAAAATAATTAAGTGAAAAAAATTTCAAAATTATATTATTTCAATCAAATAAAAAAAAAAACTAAAATAACCTTATTCCTACTTTAAAAATTAAAATATTTTAGCCATAAACCGTTGCAATTTTAAAGGACCATATTTGGCATTCCATCCACAAAAGTGGTTTCTTAAAAGCCCATATATTCATGCCATCCGCTTTTTGTTCATTTGACCCCAATCTTCATTTCCATTCAAAATTTATCAATGGAATGGTATTCACTTCCTTCCTTCTTTGCCTTACTCTCCTCCCTCTCAAATTGGGTCCATGCAGATCCTCAGGTGCCCTGCTACTTCAATTTCGGAGACTCATTGTCTGATAATGGCAACAACAATAAACTCTCAACATTAATTTGCAAAAGTAAACCATCCTCCCCATATGGAATCAATTTTCCCAGTGGCCCAAGCGGGAGGCTCGGCAATGGCAAAAACGTACCAGACATTATTATTGGTTTTGCTTCTCTTTTCATTATAACCTTTCATGACTAACTTTTATTTTATTTTCCTTTTTAAAAGAAGAAATACTTCCTTTCGTGATCACAGCTGAAATGCTGGGTTTTCGAAATCCAATTCCTCCATTTGCAACGGCAGAAGGCGATGCCATATTAAAATGTGATACAACTTCCAAAATTGCTTGCGATTAAAAAAGTAGTTTTTATATCACCGCTCTTTTCAAAATTGTTTGAGATTAGTTTTAATTTTAAATTGATTTTATTATTTTATTTTTCCTTTATTAGTCTTCTGAACTATTGATATCGTATTAATTATATAAAATTATTTTGTCTTTACTAACTTTATTTCCAAAATTACATGAAAATTAGTTTTAATTTCAAATTGATGATTTCATTCAATTCATTGATTAGGGTAATCATCTATTTTATTTTCAAAATTAAATTGATTTTATTTCAAATTAATTTCATTCTCTAACATGAAATAATAATTTAAATTTATTATTTAAAATTGATTCATCTTATATTTAAATTAATTTAAAATTTTTCATTCGTTAGTGGTAATTTGATTTTCAATAAATTTTATAATTTACAGCAAAAAAATAGATTTTATAATTTAATTATTATATTATGAATAAAATAAATAAACATAAAAAATAAATAAATGAAAAAAATATAAAAATAATAATAAATGAAAAAATAATTACTATTAGTAGTATTACACTATTAATTTTGGACTACTTTAAATTAAAAAAATCCATTATTCTGTAAATGAGGTAATAATTAATTAATCTTTTATATGTATTATTACACCCGTAATATGCATGTTTTCCATGTATGTGAAAAACTTATTCAATATACAATCGATCTATCATCATGAATTATGTACCTTTTTCAATATCCATTTATAATACCAAATCGTGTTTTAAAAAAAATAGTAATTATACCAGAACAGTTTTGGGACATACACGTGCATATAAATACATCCATGCCATCCCCTCTTTTTCTCATCCCTATCAAAATCTTCATCACATTTCTGATTTCTCTTCATCAACATAATGGAATGGTTTTCCCTCCTTGTTTCCTTTGTAACACTTTCCCTCTTCTTACACTGCACACATGCAATTCCTCAGGTTCCTTGCTACTTCATTTTCGGAGACTCATTGTCCGATGATGGCAACAATAACGGTCTTTCAACACTTGCAAAAGTAAACTATCCTCCATATGGAGTCGACTATCAACAAGGGCCAACAGGAAGGTTCAACAATCGCAAAAACATTCAAGACGTTATTGGTTTTGCTTCTTAATCTCTCTTCCCTTTGTTTCTACCTTTGACTCTCTCTAAATAAAAAAATTATGAAATGACTTGTTTAGTTTATGCATGACTGCAGCCGAAGAACTGGGTTTTTCAAGTCCAATTCCTCCCTTCGCAAGCGCAGGCAATAACATACTTAATGGAGTTAATTATGCTTCTGGTGCGGCAGGAATCCTTCCTGAAACAGGAGGAGTTGTGGTAAATTAATTAGTTTATTATACCAAGTTGTCACTGGTTGTTAAATATCTTTCTCTCTCTCTTTCTCTCTCTCTCTCTCTCT